CTGCTGTCTGTCCCAGTGGCTAAAAATCACATTATTTGACCCAAAACTAAATTATTTACATTACATCCAATATGACTACATCATGCTATGAGAAACTGAGAAGAGATATTAAAGAAAGCAGAAAGCGACTCACCGTTTCCGGGTACACCTGGTACGTCTGTGGGGTGGTGGTGGGCTGCGGGGGGGCCGGGGGGTCTGGCTGCCTGTATGCGTAGTCAGGAGGAGCCTGGTGGCTCTGATAGGCGGGGTAAGGGGCAGTGACCACAGGCCTGGCTGCCTGGACTGGAGCTGGAGAATAGGATGCAGTCACTGCATGAGCCACGGCTGGAGCCTGCTGGACACTGTAACTGGCTGTAGAGGGATGGGAATAGGCCGGGGGAGGCTGGGCACTGAAGGAGAGGAGAGGGAAGGAAAATTAAAGACTATTTATGCATTTACTGTCTGTTTCATCATGGTATGATATTTCTGATGCCTGATTTAACAGTGAGACTGGTTTACAATATAGGTAACCTTGATAAATGCTAGCACGGACAGTGGAATGATAATTAGGATCATTTTACTCCATTTATCATAATAATTAATCCATTTCTGTAATAGTTTACCTGCACTTGAGTATTTCTAAACTACACTCACTTCTTAGTTAACAAAACTTCGTTCAAGTGTATGGATATTTTAACAAGATTGAGAGTCTTCTACTAGGGAAGAGTGGTGCTTTGAGCTACATGCTAATGTTGGCAAGCTAAAAAAAAGTCAGAGGAGGCATGAATGTCAGTGCTCTGTACTATATTTCAGGGGAATCCATCCAATAGTTGTTGAGGCAAAACCACAAATGTGAACCTTATGGTGGTGCAAGAGGAAACATCGGGGAATCAACAAAGTCAGGAGGATTCGTCATCCGAGCGCCATGAACATCTATTCAAGATATCATATAAATCCATCACATAGTTGATGAAATACTTCAGTCTGGACTGAAGTGGTGGACAGACCAACTCACTAACTAACCAACAGCCCAATATAAATGATGCCCATGTATAACTATATCAAATATTGAATGCGTCGGCTTTATTTTTGCCGCTTGGTCACACCGCTAACACGGCTAAATATAGGAGCGAAAAATAGAGAGACAAGTGAAATGCAAAACGTCAACATCCAATCCAGATTAATTAATCACGGAGGTCAAAATTGTGATCACTAATAATATTACATGATTCGCTGAGCAGCCCTGCATTGACAGAGAGAACTCTGCAGCAGCGTTGTCGTTGTTGGCCTGGTTTGGGATGGGGATGGCAGTTACTGGCAACGGCATCAGTAACTGATGATATCAGCATCTTTATTAAGCTTTCAGTGTCTAGATGAACAAAACACAAGTGAGCTAAACTTAAATGACTTCTTAAAAGGTCATGAAAGAGTATGGACTCAACATGCTGTGGGAGTAATCATAACACCGTATTATCTTACAAAAATGTACTGGACCCGGGGGAAAATTAAAAACAGTTGCACGTTAGAATTTATACAGGAAACGGAGTTCGAATACAAAAAAATAGAAAGTACTAAGATGGGGTTTGGAAAAACCCATTTTTCCAAAGTTGACTAGTGCATTGAGCCTCTCAATAGTTCCTCTATGTAATGTAATCATCTCAATGTGGGAAAGAATTTCCACAACCTACTAACTGGATTGTGCTAGTGCTACATGTGATGTTGTGAATCAGATACTTCACCTGAATAAGTGTGGTGGACGTCCGGGCATGTCTACATCTACAGATAAAGACATCAAAACTGTAGTAATGTCGATAGTGTGATGTCAATATGCTGTCAAAAGGTCATTTTCACTGTCTGTTTCTGCTGTCAACCGCACACAGCACACGGAAAGAACAGGCGAGTAAAATTAGTTCGCATTTTTGCACTTCCGGCTCCTTTGTGGCAAAGTCAATAGTTTTCTTTTTTTTTGGTGGCTAAATGAGACTACAAAACATCATAACGCCATCTAGTCCTTGTTGTGTATACTCACGCACATGCTACCGTGGTCTAGTGTGTTTATAGCCCAACATTAGATGTTTTACTTCTGCCGATTGCATTCACGCTTCAAAAATCATGAAAGTGGTCATTTGTGAAGATTATCCTGCTGAACATAACATGCAAGTATCATAAGTTTGCCAGAGAATTTATTTTCTGCAATAATCCAAAATCCAACAGAGAAATCCCATCGGCTTTTTCTCGAGGGAACCAGTGCGATGCCAACGTCCTACAAAAACACATCCATCCCTGCAGCACTCAGTAACCATACAATAAATACAAATAGTGCCAGCAGACGGCTCATGCCCTTAAAGTGACATGTTAAAGTACATGTGCTTCATTATACAACCGGTGAAGGATTTAGGATGCGGATTGCTTCAGGATAAGTGCTCTTGTGGAAGCGAGCCGAGATGTTCCAGTCTTGATACTGCGTATAGTCTTTTACCCAAATGTAGAAGACTGAATGGAGGGTTTATGGGGTGTGAGGAGTCCTTTAAATGTTCAAATATTTCCATTAAATGTGAATGTGGTATGGTTCAGAAATGGTACGCAGCAAATTATTTTAGTGGACAACTAATTAATGGCCATAAATGCACCATGCATGCAGAGGGTTGTCATTTTACTGAATTCCTTTTTCATGACATGCTGGTGAAATATCTCTACATGTGATGAAAGAGAGTGCTGCTGAATGAAGTGCATGGTTCCAATCCAACTAAACCTTTTAGCAAACCCTAAACAGAATTGTAATAAATACATTATGCATATAGGACAACGGACACTGACCACTTTGACAGTGTTTCCCTGAGACATCTCTGGACTTGTGAGTTTATTATGGGAATTTTGCAACCAATGGGGGGGAAACTGCTTTACGGCAATATTGCACTAAATATTGATTTTGCAGTATCGAATTACACATTGTGATGGCGGATTTTAATAATATCGCCCGATACTGTAACCTTGCACCAGGTGTGTGCATCTCATGAAGACTAAAACCTTCCTGCAGCTCCAACACAGCGACATGTTTACTGCTTTGTGAGGCTTTATGTTCAATCAAGAATTAGCACAATTTAAGACTTTGGTGAATGAACTAAGGGAAACATGACAAATTAATACAACAGCACTCTGTATTGTAAAAACATCAGTTTTCTACTGTTTGACAGGTTTGTTGAGTGCTAGTCAAAAAATATCTAAACACCAGACAAAACAGGAAACGTTGCTGCAGTGAATGATAATTACATGATATGCTAATTATATCCGATTACCTGTCAAGATGGCTAAACGATGTACCTGTCAAACCAAAGTTGCCAAACACCAACCCATGCTACTAAGAGTTTTACAGGTGACCAGTGTCCATGATCTACCTTAACATAATCTACTTTAATGTTCCTTTGTAGCTGCATGTCGGACTATTACAGGTACAAGTACACTGTTTGTGAGACAGGGGGACCTTCAGTACAGGTTGTTAATCCTGAACACCGGGCCAAAATATCACCCCGTCACAGCGATTACCTAAACCGGTTTCGTGACGCTTGCTATAACTGACGTCAAAGTATTTAAAGTGGTAATTTGTTGACCCGTGAATACCCAAAGATGACCGTACTGGGGTTCTCTTAAGTCAAGCAGCGTGTCGGTAAGAGCTGGCCTGCAAACTCAGCTAGCTAACGTTAGCTAACCGAACTAGCGGGTCAAGCGAAGCTAGCTGTGTAGCTCATCAATCCCACCACTGACCGTTATACACCGGCGGCTGATAAATGTGACACAACAGACACACTGACATCAACCTGCATCTCTTGAATTACCTGTATTGTGGACCGGCAGCATGTGTGAACCCGAAATAATTGCTTGCAGCCATCTTGGCATCCCCAGTACAGTACAGTATTGGTAGCCAACAGTAAAAACCCTGAAACTATCTGTCAAGATAGTTCACCCCCTCTACTGCAGCCAATGGCAACGCCGCTCTGCTTCACCGGAACTGCGTTAGACAAAAAAAACAAAACATATCTGAGATATGAACGAAAACTCAGCGAGAAAATGTATCATTGCAGTTAATTTACACTAACAGTTTGGGCATAAATTTATTTTTACAATTTGTTCTTGGGATTCCACGTAACTACATCACGCATGCGCACCAATAATTAACAATAACAATAGTTTTTTTGCTTGTGTTTGAATAAACAGTAGAAAGTTAGGTGTATGTGAAAGGGATCAAAGAACAAAAAAAATAAAGAAAGAGGGAAAAGAGGAAAAATAAAAGAGCATGTTTACTCTTTGCTCTGATATATACTCCTGTTGGGAAGGAAATAAATTTAAAAAAATGCAAATGCAGAAAAGAATCTAGTTAATTTTTGAGGCCTGGTTTACAAAATAAAAACTGCAATGCTAAAATACCTTGCTACTCATATTTTACTGTCGCCTAAACATAGACTATATAAACCCTAACCCTAAAAAAAACGGGGTTTACGCGAAAACGGAAGTAACGTACAATGAATCATCTCGTTCTGCTGTATCTGCTGAATGTCGCGTGTGCCTGTCAGTCATGCTGACATACTCATTAATGACAAATAATATATCTCATCTAAACCTAACTACCGGGCACTGAGTTTGTAGACAAAAATAAATCAACATATCATCAGATTCAGATTCTTATTAAACTGCCTGGTAACCATAATGTTCCAGCTAATAAAGACGACCCTTGGGTTTTAAACATGTCCTCGCCACATATTGATGACAGTTATGGCATAAATCTAAAGAGGGACACAAATGTCAGATTCAAATAGAAAAAATATACATGACGTGATTAGTAGATCACAAGAGGAACAGAATGCCCTAATTATACAGAGAGGCCTGTTATAGGAATGTGCAGCCAGCAGCACACTTTGCAGGGAAACTGGGCAGTGATATGATTGGGTGGGTGCAAGTGAAGTAAGGGACTGAATAATTAATGCGTGAGGAGAGTTGGGGTGTATGAAGGAGAGTGGGGCGAGGAGACAGAGAAGGAGGGGAGAAGCTATGGATGGAGAGAGAGAGAGATGCTGTTGCCAGGGAACAGCAGCCACATAGAGGACCACTGAAAACAACAGCAGGATTATCTGATGGGGTAAAGGGAAACAGAGACTGGTGCTCATTTTCCCCTCACGGAGAGGGGATTGAATTGATATTTGGGAGTGGAAAAAAAGGTATTTGGATTTGCAAGCAGGGAAAAGAAGGCGGTGTAGGGAGGGATATCATGATGCCAGAGCAGATGCATTCTGATTAAAGGAATTTTGTGTCTTGGTGGTGTGGACGTATGCGAGCTGAGAGGCAGGCTGTCAGCTCGTTCTTCACGGCCAGTCTTTCCCCAACAAAGGTGGCCAGAGGCGGAGGAGAAGAGGGGGGGGGGGGTCCACCACAGAGGTGCCCCCTGTCTTTAGACACCTGCTGCTGGCTAGCGGCTGACATCGAGGACACTAGGACTGTGTCTGTGCACAAGTGTGTGTGTATGCATGTGAATGAGTGTAAGACAGGGAGCGTGAGAAGAGAAAATTCAGCCTGACCTCTGCTTTTCTGTTGATGTGGAGGATCAGGAATTTCTCCCCTTGAATCTTTGCATCTGTGACTGAGGAGGAGGGAGGACACACAGACCAGCGAGAGGTTTTGAGGGGATCTCACAACGCTCATGTGAGTATATAGTCACTGAATTAACGTCCTTGTATCTCTATTCTGCTCGCTGCACAAATCAGACACCTTAGACTGACTGCATGCACAACATGTCCACTAACACATGAAATCCATTTAGGTATTTTCCTTTTTGGCTGTTACATTTGGGATGACCCAGAAAGGTGGTGGGGTCTCTTTACTCTGTGACGTTTTGCACATTTGATGGCAATTAATTTAGTATATTTTGCAATATTGGAATTTGCAAGCAGAATGATTGAACATGGGTAGCATAATACAACATTAAAGGTTAAAGATATTTGCATTACATTGTCAACATTTTCCCAGCCTGTCAAACATGGTGTGAGAAAGAAGAAACCTCATTGTCATTGATTTATTCTGTTTTCTGCTCTCCCTCTTGCTTAACCGCTTTCTTTATCGGGTGTTGTCACATTGGATTTTACAAACATGTGATGTGTTAGTGGATTTTGCTTCATGGTACAATCTCTTATCTTTGCTTTGTTCCTTATGTGTAATGTTAGGCCTGTAAAAATGAATTATTTCCTCTATGTGAGACATGGCTGTCTTCCATTAAAGCCACAAGTGTAGCTGCCAAAACCACTCCACTCCTTTCAGTAATTATATCACAGCAACATTATGCACTGCCGACAAGAATGTTTGTTGTATTTTATTCTCCCACAACAGTATTTTTGTTGCGCTCTCCTAACACGCTCTGAACCGCATTAATGTGACCCTGACAAGCAGTTATGATGTGCCTTTCCTCTGTTTGTAAGAATAACCTCCAACACAAACCTGACCATCCTCTGTCACTCAGCAGAAGCTGCTCAGACATTTTATACTTGAGTGGAGGACTACAAAGAGAACAGGACTTACAGTCCAATTAAATATCCACAGTGCTCCTCTCATGCAGTTCACCAGCCAAAACAGACCTGTGCTTCCTGTTGTTATTAATGTGTCACTGTTGTGTTGTGATAACGCATCTGGATTCCAGCATTACATCCTATAATTAAGAAGAGTGCAGTGCATCTCAATGCCACCGTTGATTATACAGTCGGTGTGTAATCATTGTAAAGGCATTCACCAGTATATGGATTATCTTCAAACTCCTGAAACAAATGAATATTAGATTTTAAGAGAAGTTTTTGTTTCTTCTGTTAATACTATTGGTGACATAAAGTTTGAGCGTAAAAGGCAACAGTCACATCAGTGCGGCAGGATTAAGGAGCAGTGAGGGAGGATTAAATGTGCATGTCGTTCTCCACATTGGCCTCTTGAATTCCACCTAGGAAGAAATTTGTACATGATATTTGACTTTGAGGAGAGCTGAGCTAAAAGTGGGCTCTGTTCGAGTCAGTCACATGCCTCTCTCATGTGCTCCTCCGGGGTCGGGGATAAAAAAACATCTGACTGAAGAGTGGATACAGCCCCCAAATTGCAATGGAAAAGTATTTGAAAAAAAATCCTGCAACAATGCTGACTTTTCCCTTTGTCATCTAAGTCAAACACGTGTTCCTGCAGTGCAGCCATGAAGCTGACTGTCTAGTAAGTACACACATTTTATGGGACAGCTTTTCCTTTGTTATTGTAACTGGAGTTCATTCATAAACAGTTTTCTTCACATCTCCAGGCCTCTGCTCTCTTCCCTGAGGGATGGGCACCACAGAGGCAACTCTACGAATGGAGAACTTGGAGGTGAAAGACGAGTGGCAGGATGAAGACTTCCCCAGGTGGGATCCTTTTACTTTCTACTAATCACCATCTCGTTCACTGTTCTTTTGATGTCAATTGGATGATGTTGAAAGTGGAAAACTATGAAACACTTGAGCAGAAAAAGCTGTCGTTATGGCATCTCTTAGAGCTGTGTGTGTGCCTTTAACTATACGGCATATTCTTGTGAATGTGTGTGCTGGTGAATATGCAGCACATTTTAATTTATGGATTAGAATCTCATTATTTAAGATTAATTGTGCAGTTATTTAGGGATGAATTGCCAAACAGGGTTTCTTAATTCTTATTGTCTGTGTGGATTTAGAAGCAGTGCTGTTTATATTAATCTGTGGTTTTGTAATATTGACAGTTTTTATTTTATAAAAGCTTACCTATGATAGCCATATCTTATTTCTGTTCTATTATAAAAGCAACAGTGGATCTATGTACGCTTATTGTGTTGCTGTAAAATGTACAGGGTGCAAGGTTTGAGCCCAGTGACATTTAATTACATGTTCACAGTAAGATAGACGGACAGAGAGAAAGATAAATGATAAAAAAAAAAGGTTTTAAAGCGATTTAGAGAGTGTGGGAATTTGATGTTCAGAGGTGGAGATGCAGAGCTTGATGGGCATAAAAAGAGCAGGGGAGAAGGGTGATGACAGTCAGTTCTGGGCTCCCTCCTCCTCCTCCTCCTCCTCCTCCTCCTCCCCCCTCCTCCTCCGTCAGAATGGGAGGCAGGAAGCCAGGGAGCAGGTGCAGCTCTGTCTGTAGATGGTCTCAGGCTACGTCATTTGACGCAAAGAGCAGTCACTGATCAACAACACAGCATCGTCAGGAAAATGGTGGCAGTTTTTTGTTGAAGCCAGACAGAGACGAAGGAATAGCCAGCAGCAAATGGATTATCAAGGCATCCTGTGAGAGATGCTCTGCTCTACACTGTCTGTTATAAGCTGAGCAAACAGGGACTGAGTAAGCAGACTAAATCTAAAGGTGTGTCAGGTTAAAAAGCTATTTGAATCAGCCTTGACAACAGCAGCCCCGGGCTATTTCCAGAAGGTAAGCATCATTGATTTGTCATGTGATTGTTGTTTGTAGCTGAAGGACAATGCAGCTATGAACTGGAACAAAATAGATTATCTTGCTTTTGTTAAAACTAGAAATCCCCATGAATCTGTTCATAGAATTGACTTAATTTCTGACAAAAGAAGCATTGGACTAATAATCACTGCAGGGATCCTCGGGGGAAAAGGGTGGAACCGTTCATCAGTGTCTGTTTCTCTGGGCTAAAGCCAGTGTTGTTGGCTCAGGGGGAGCACACACTGTCCCCCTCTAGATGGGAGGAAGAGGCAGTTGGCTTTCGCAGGAATGCAGCTAAGATCCTGTCTGCTGAATGACACTGCGTTGTGACTCTCTGCATCTCTTCCATTTAGTTGTAAACGTTTCCACGTCCCTGATTGCATCGGGTGTTGTTGCTCATATGCAAAACAACACGTCTGTCCTAATGTGCATAGTTTTGCTTACTCTCAAAAAAAACACATGGATGCTACACAATATGCGTGGCAGGATCTCCAGCTTGCTCCTCCTTCTGCGCAGGGTAAATAACAAGTAGCATAGAGGGAAAGAGAGCTGCACCTTTTTGTCTGTGCGTAGACATACTTCTTGCCTCTTCTCTCTCTTCTACTCAGTCTCTATTTTTTATTCCTCCCATTTTCTCCTTTATCCCCCCCAGTGAGAAGTTAATTACCATCTCTATCATCTTCTGCTTGCTCCTCTTTTTAGTGCTTAGCCAGATCAGTTACACCCACGCCTTTACTGGTCCATTGAACACCATCCTAATCACAATGCTACATTCTATTGTGAGGCCATCGTTTGAGACTGCTGTATGCTGGAGAACAGACTGGAGTTTAAGATAAATATGCTACATTCAAAAGTTATGGTTGCTTATATTAAAGATCCAGTGAGAGCCATGATTGTTCTGCTGAACCTCTGTTCTCAGCAGCATCATGACCGGCTTTATATTATATATTATACTCAACAAGCTCAGTGCTGGTTGCTCACCTGTGTATGCTTCCCTCCAGACCACTACCAGAGTACGGAGACATGGATCCCTCTTGTGGTCTCACAGACGACAGAGCCTGTAAGTAAACATCGGGGGTCACTGATTGGTCAATAATGGAAAGTCCATAATAACCCTGATTTATGACATCACTAACATTTTCGGATCTGTCTCTCCTCTCCTCGTCCTGCTGTAGCTCCCCCTAACTTCCTGAATGTAAGCCCACCTGGAGGAGGAGGCGGCATGTCCTCGTCCCACCGCAAACGGCGTACGTTGATTGCCCCGGAGATGAACCTTTCACTGGACCGAAGCGAGGGCTCTTTGCTGTCAGATGACTTCCTGGATACACCGGATGACCTGGACATCAATGTTGATGACATCGATACGCCCGACGAGACAGACTCGCTGGAGTTCATCACCAATGGCAATGAGCTGGAGTGGGAAGGTAGGTGGTTAAAAACACATATGCATATATCTAGACAGATATCTACTGAAGTTTGCAGAATCAGCAAATTCCAAATTACAACACTAAAATGCTCTTTCATGTATTTGTCAGTCAAAGAAATATATATTAATCTATAATAATACAACACTGTGAAATGACCCATTCTGCATAATTTTTACTTTTACTTTTATTAATTGACACTAGTATGTTTTACTTTTTGAATTCAGGACTTTCAACTTTTTTCCACTTTTGATTCAGTAAAGGATCTTTTTCCATCATTGTACACAACTGAAGAGTTAGGATATCTTCAACCTAAAACTAATTCTAAATTAAGCCACAAACCTGAGTCCTAATCCTTAATAAATGTTAATCCTTAGACAGCAAGACAAAATGTAACTGCAGTTTTGTTAATCTAATATTCAACACTTACTTAAGATTAGGTTACACACAGGCAATACATTTCACTCTCTCTTGGAACCAGTGCAATGCAATGTGGCAGATATTTCAGAACAAAATCTGTCTCTGTGTTCGTCCAGATGACACGCCGGTGGCCTCGGCCAAAGCAGGTCCCGCTTGCGGTTCAGGAGACGTGGATGAACAGGGGAATGTCAACAACGGACGCCTCTGGAGGACGGTGATTATCGGAGAACAGGAGCATCGTATTGACATGCAGGTCATCAGGCCCTACCTCCGGGTCATCACACATGGAGGTCAGTCAATCAGAAATCAATTAAATCAATCTCATGAGAGTCTTTAGAAGATGGTTTACAGTTTATCTCATATGCAGAGAAGCATTATTCACTATTAACTGAAACTCTCTCCCATTAGGTTATTATGGCGAGGGGCTTAATGCCATCATTGTTTTCTCTGCCTGTTACCTGCCTGACAACAGCTGTGCAGACTACCACTACATCATGGAGAACCTCTTCCTGTGAGTGACTCTTAGTTTTCAAGTACAGGCTTTGAAATTGGAACGGATTAATGTGTATACTGGGCACCAAAGTCAGAAGTTAGTTGGCTAGTTATTATCATGTCTGGGAGGAAAGTGACATGGCTCGGTCAAAAGCAGGCATGTCTTGATCATATTCTTTTTTTAATTTCCCAGTTCTTTTAAATGCATCTGGGCGTCCATGATGCTGATCCCTCTCGTGCAACTGTTTTGAGGTTATTCAGTGTTTTGGATACGACACATGACAGCCTTCCCTTTCCTCCAGGTATGTGGTGAGCAGTCTGGAGATGCTGGTGGCTGAAGATTACCTGATCATCTACATGAACGGAGCCACTCCTCGGAGTAAAATGCCTGGGATCAGTTGGCTCAAGAAATGTTACCAAATGATTGACAGAAGGTGGTAAAAGGAGAAACTACTCAGATATTATATTTGTGATGTGCTGTCTATAAAACACGTCTTAATACTCATTTAAAAGATGACAGTTCTGAACTGAAATATGATTTCGGCCCAACCTGCTATTAGCTGCTGAGTATTGTTCACCGTCAATATACAGAAATGCATGACATTGGAACTGACAGACACAAATTGGAGGTTAATGGAAGTTGTCAGTTGCTGTCAGTACGAGTCTGAGGATGACTCCGAGGTTACATTTATAACAGGACTCCGTTTAGAGAATCCTCAATAATTATCAGTTTAACATTTATTTATTTTGAACACTTACTTAACTGTGCTAACTGAATGGACTTGTTCTTCGTGTTGTGAGGGCAGATTAAGGAAGAACCTGAAGTCTTTGGTCATCGCTCATCCCACATGGTTCATACGCACCGTCCTGGCTATATCCAGGCCCTTTATCAGGTAATACACACACACACTCACACACACCAACAACTGAACAATTATATCTGAAAGCAGGGAATCCACAAAACTCGGTGCACAAGTTAAAATGCTTTTTTCTAGTACTGAACTAATGAGCACCAGGCTGTGCTTTTGATCATGAGGATTTTGTAACTGAGACATCGGTGATGCAGCGACTGTAACGGTAGTCGTGTTGTTATTGTTGTTGTTGTCTCTCTGCAGTGTGAAGTTCATGAATAAGATCCAGTATGTCCACAGCCTGGATGAACTTGCAGAGATCGTCCCCATGGATCATGTCCATGTACCCGAGTGTGTAGTGCAGTAAGTATCTCTGACCACTAGATGGAGAAAACGAGCCGTAGCAGTGACAGCAGCTTGTCCTGCCTTATAATGATCATTCATGTACATCTGGCAAAGAACAAGAGTAATGTGTTTGAATAAAAGTAAAATAAGATACTTGAGCTCTTTAAAAGGACTTGAATTTACTGAAGGATCTAACAGTGTTACTTATTTTCAGATTTGACGAGGAGAGGATTAAAGTAAGGAGGGAAAGGTAAAATACATTTGATAAGATCAGCTTCTCATACATATATATTGCTCATACAAAATTGCACTTGAAATGAACTACGGTTAAAGCACTTCAATTGAATTAATTGGATGGAGAAGACTGCCTTTAGATTCACAACCAAATGGGCATCAGCCCAAATGCCTATAATAACTCTCTCTCTCTCTCTCTCTCTCTCTCTCTCTCTCTCTCTCTCGCTGTCTCTCTGTCTCTGTGTGTGTGTGTGCGTGTGTGTGTGTGTGTGTGTGTGTGTGTGTGTGTGTAGGATGGAGCAGGAGCACAGACAACAGCAGCAGCAGCAGCCAATCCCACAGGAGCCAATTAAAAAATCTGAGAGGTAATGGTCCACTCTGGATATAAAAATCATATTTTCACATCGGACGTTTAAATAGTTGGGACAGTCATTCACTTTTGGTACGTTGTCATCCCTTCAACTTTCTAACAGTTTTTTTTCTCATTTTCAGGCCGAAGTCGATGCTTGTAGATCAAGAGTAATGAGGACAGCTTCTCAGCAGGTAAAGGTAATATAAACCACTGTTGTGTATCTTTTAGGAGCCCCAATGTGGCTTTCTGTTCTGAAATATATTCACCACATAGCCCTTTGTATCTCCACACAGATGTCTAAATAGGGGCCAATAATCAGTTCCAGTGTACTGTTTTTATATATTTTATACGACAATCAGATTATGATCAAAGTCTAATATTTCAGTATGTGTGCTTACTCTTTACACTTTCTGTTACGTAAACAAAATGTTAAATATTCTATTAGATTTCCTTTGTTACATGCATTTTTAAAGCAATCATGTATTTATCCAGTTTGAAAAACAGTAGCCTAATTGTGTGAATTCTTTCTTAAACTGAAATAATCAAACAGAATATTCAAGTGTGCTTTTAGCTGAGTAAAAGGCCATGGACATATAGATTATTAACAAAGAAACAGTGCGCAGCAATGGGTAAAGATAATTATGTTTTCCGATTCACATTCATACAGTTGATACTCCTCCATTATCAATGGGGATATCTATCTGTGGTTTGTGATGTCTTGTACATGGATGCTTGGTCGTTAGACGGACTTGTTTTTCAGGTTTTTAAAGTAGCTTCTCTGGAGTGCCCTTTTCCTCTAGTCAGTGTCTTGCCTGCGTTTTGGTGTAGGCTCCATCCAAATGAGACTGGAGCCGTGACTTTGGTTAAGTTTTACATGTCAGAATCAACAGATTAACTCTTTCTTCATCTGCTTTAAGTAAACCATCAAGGTGGACCAGGGAGGTTAAGCACATATTCAGTTCAGAGCTTGACGCTGCAACAAGTGATTGATTTTAAAAAAATCAAAAAAGTTATTTAAATCTCCAGTAAGCAAAACTTCTTTTAGAAGGGTATATTTGAAGATTTTTGGTACTAAAGGCAATTTATCCCTTACATGATACATGAGCAGCAGAAATGTTTTTATTGTCTTGTCATGCTTTCATCATCCACAAGCATGTCCTTTTCTTCATGCAGTGTGTGACAGACGTATGGAGAATGAACCTTTGGATTTTTACCCGTATGAAGCAGCGGTGTCCAACAAGTCTACTGTACGCTTCCCTGTTTTACCAACATCCAGCTGTAGATTTGTGCCACGAAGATGGTGAAGCTCCTCCTCATTAACCCTTTGTGTGGAACCCCTTCTTCCTCTCTGCCAGTGGGGTTTTCATATGGAAACTTGAAAATGTACAAAGGAAGTGGCAGGAAGTGTTTCATTATGGAAAGCTGGGTTCATTGACTCATTAACCTGCTGTGTGGTCGGACCTGTTGTATCGCCCACATTGTAATATTACATCATCGTGATGCTCTGGAGGACCAGGCCATTGACAGAAACTCACGCTCTATAATGCAAAACAAAATAAACTGGAAGACTAAAGAACGACAGTGTTGGGTGAAACAACTGTAACTCCAATTGATGATACTCATGTTGTAACTTAGTTTAGGATTACGCCTTCAAAAACTTTTTGTTAATAATTAAATAAATATACAAAATTAACTGGAAAAAATGACGAATTCTTCATCAAAAATCTGACAATTGGAGAAATCAGCTTTTTGCCTGATACAACTGATGTGAACATATGTTATGAAATATTTAACACTTGGCAAGACCAGAGATGTCGAACAGAAACATTACTGATGTAGCAGATGCTGATGTTAGGTCAGTGTGTGACCAAACATACATTTATATTCATGCTGGTTCGTGTGAATATAATGTGTGTTCGATGTAAATAATGCATCCGACACCTTCATCTTTGTTTGCCTCACACCAGCTGTATCTCTCTTTTGCCGTGGTGACATTTTGAAAATGTCCAAATGTACTAACATCTGTACTGTAACATGTGTTATTGGTGTGCCTCAGTGTGTAGAAAAATACAGAAACATGAACAATATTTTAATTTGTGACCTGGAAACCCCAAATGACAAAATCTTTAAGAAACATATATGTGTTGTAAAATACAATGCTTGTTTATTTTGTGTAACATGGTTATGGCCACATAAATATATGTCATACAACATTAAACACATGTGTTTTATATATCAACATTTAGACTGTAATCATATTATATATTGTATGACATAAGACGAATATAATTCTAACCCGCCGTAGACAAAACATCTGCAATAATTTTGTATGAAAGTGGCAATAATCAAGACACAATACACAAACATTGTACATATGATTATGCATATTAATGTTATTAATTGTGCATATCTATAATTCTTATTGATCTGTTTCATATGGGAACGTTTGCTGTCAGCTTAGGTTGTGAAATCATATTCATGACCACTAACTCGATGAAGTATAAAGTGGCCTCTGAGGATCTTTTTTCCAGAATCATGAAGTTTTTGTAGCTTATGTAAAAAATGTAGCTTGTGTTCAGCAGAGCGGCAGCCCCTTTATGTTTTTATGTGGTTGTGTCTGATGAACCTTTGGGACGATGTCAGCACATTCCCATATTTAACCGAAGTTTTAACATTTCTCAAACGTCCTAATGCATTAGGGATTGGATGTTTTCTGGGGTTGCATTGATTTTCTCTCGTGTCTTCCATCTGTTCAACTTATTGTAGCAGGAGAGCAGAGGAGTAAGAATTTATTATTTTTGTAAAGAACTGCATCAATTGTAATGCCTGCCTGCCTTGTTTTGCACTCATAAGATTTGGTTATTTTTAGGTGGAGAAAAGTTTACTGAAAGCATATTTTGTGTAGCATTGATGGCATGCAGTTGTGTAGTTCGTAAAGAATGAACCTTTTTATGCTTCTTTGTTACAGAAAACTAGTCTCATGAAATGTCTGTTTCTAAAGTGCCATCTCAATTAAATTCTTTTGCCTTTTTTTAGGTTCAACTTTTCAAATATTGTTAGTCCTGTTCGGCTGTTTTCAAACCAGTAAACCAAACATGAGCAGTTTCATCAAATATTGATCTTCCTTGATAGAACAGCTCAGTTACTGCAGCTCGTCATTCTTTGTGTTTGAGGTTTGTTTGCACTGTGTGCCTATTTTTGCATCAAATGATTTTTAAAAATCCAGACAAAGTGACATAAAGTGAAGCCCTTCCATTTGTAGTTATTGTAGTTTACAGGTTTATTATATTAAACTTCACCCAGTAATATAAGCAAGGTTTGCATAGAAATGGTTTGTATGACCTTTCCAAAAATCTAAATGTTCATTTTGACTATAAAAGCACAATATTTATATTATTACAAATTCTTTGCCTACCATTTGTCTGCCGTAAAATGTTTGCTCAGATTTAAATGGGGAAGATGATCTATCATTCATGGTTCTGTGCTTTAGATTGATATGATCGATTATGCCTTGTACATATAACTGAATAAACTGTTCCTCCCAAAATGTATTTTTCACACTTTCTATGTACTCATATGGGAGCTCATTAATACTCTTCTTCAGATACAGAGTTTGGCCTGGAAAAAACTAAACTTATAAACATACACTTTATGTGACTATGTTCCATTTTAGACCGCTGTATCTATTGGACGTATCAATAAGACACCATCAATGGTAGTTTTCCACGGTCATCAGGTGGATTAACGGCTGAACGGAACAGCACGAGCTGCTGATCATCGCTGTGTTGGATAAGATCAGGTGAAGTGAAATATGTAAGTATGTGAAAGTTTACGGGCTGTGATTGGCTGCTGCGGAGAGGCACGTAGGCACTAGCCAAGAAGAGCACGAGCACGTCCGACCACGAGGACGCACCCTGCCTGCGTGAGTGGTGACGCAATACGACGCAAGTTGGATATAAATTGCAGTGGCTCGCGTGCTCAGTCAATGGAGCAGTAGTAGTAAGAAACGCCGACAGACCGATAAAAATTAAATTTACGACTTTTTTTTTTTTTGAAGAGTGTGATTTGTTTGATGTTTATCCTGACTTAGTATAAAAGTGCTGTTGACTGTTTCTTCAGCTGACGTTGAGCAGGACAGTCGAGAAGAGACGAAGAGATGAAATACATTATAGGAATTGGCGGGTGAGTTTTATATTTTTCTTAAATAGCTTGTTAGTTACTAACATTTTGGTCGTAGAGTTAACGTTACATCCAACACTCCTTATATCTGAATAATAAGGTATTGTTTACCTGACTGGTAGTTTGGAGACTGTTGCCATGTTTTATCAGCTGCCTGACAGAAAAGAGTTAAACCACTTTACAGCCATGTCCGGTGTGGCTGGTTTATTGTCATGGATCGAGCGGGACATTTGAAATTCACCGAGAGACTCTGTTCAAAAGTGGAGGGAGATTGAACATGAGTATTGTCCCAAAACCAGCTTTATTTATAT